CCACCCCCCCCACCCCCGCTTTGCAGCTGATCTGAGAAGGGATGCGACTTGCTCAAGGCCACAGAGACCCCGCTTCTCAGCTCTGAAACTCAACTCTAAACCAAAGCTGTCGTTGACTAATCACTCCAGGCAAATTCGCTTTCCGCTTTGCATGACCCCAGGGTGGAGAACAGGCCAAAACTGATGCTTCCTATAAAAGTGTCTGCCTGAAGGGAGACATCAAATCCTTCCTGTTGACCCCAAATACAGATTGGGGTGACAATTCTTCCCTTGATTTTTGCCTGGACCCAAACACTGGCCTCAGATAATTCAATCCATCACTGCCTGAAATCCCACCAGGATTCACTCTTGTCTGTTGTAGAGTCTTTTGAAACTTACTGAAAGACACAAGGATATCTCTGTGCAAGAAACCCAGTTGGGGCCTTCAGGGAATGGGATCCAGGACAGGTTAACTTGGAAGGAAAAGAGATTGGGAGAGAAGAGGCTTTGAAGTGAAATGGCAGGGCTGGTGGGGCAGCATGGTTCGGGGGGTGGGGGGCCCAAGGGTGGCCACGACCAACGGCAGGGGCTTCGAGAGGACACGCCAAAGGAAACTCATAGATTTCAGGGTTTTCCAAAGGGTGGAGATGAAGGGAAAAAAAGAAAGGGGGAAGAGGGAAAGGAGGAGGAGGACGGGAAGACGAAGTGAGGGAGGGAAAGAGGGAGGCACAGGGCAGGCACAGCCAAACAGGTCAGCAGTTCAAATTCAGCCCAGGGAATGAGATTTCTCTGGCCAGCAGATAAACGCAGGTGGCTTCATAAGGATCGTCCTGGCCCGCCCAGGTGGGTGGAGAATGTTGACAGCCAGGACCCAGCCAACAGGCCCAGGTGCAGACATGGAGTGTCTGTCCTGATTGGTGTGTTTATGGCCAGTCTGGATTCTGATTGGTCCGTTTATGGCTAGCATGGATTCTGATTGGCCAGGAACCAAGCCCCACCACACCACACTTAGAATTCCACTCTGGCCAGATCCAATAGGCCTTGCAGGCTGGGGTGGAGGGCCACGCAGTGGCATGCCTTGGACCTTCCCTGACCGCTCCGCACAGGTAAGACCCAAGAACCCTTGACACCTGTAAAACACCCAGGAGCGGGCAGGGAATTCCTGGAAAAATAGCAGTCATGTTTTCCCACCATCATGGTGAAATGGGAGCTCAGAATCCAAAATAAAGTTGAAATACACTAGAAAGCCTATTGTTTTCCCAGTATACCTAAGTCGTAGACCTGCCATGCCATGCAATCTCTAGTAGATCTCAACAATCCCCTGCAAGGGAAGCTGTAATGTCCCCATTATCAAGGAGGAAACTGAGGCACAGAGTGCTAACATCACTGGCTGGAGGATCCTGAGGGGATGGGAACCGTCCTCCTGTGACTTTCAAAGTGCAAGCTCACTCCGCCCAGTAGCCCTGGCTGCCCAGCCCACACCGCCCACCACAGATCAAGCAGGTCGCAGCCTCCTTCAGTGTATTATAAACTGACTTTTAATAATAATAATAAAAATCTATCAAGAATTAAATGAGAAAAATCTGTACATTTTAAAGTAAACCAGTGCATGACGCCCTGGCCCTCAGGGGCCCTTCTCTTCTCTGTTGTATCTGTGACAAGATACAGTGACAAGGCCACCTCCTGCAATCCTGTGCATGGTGGCAAGAAAGGGAAGGTGGCTGCTGGGGGCGGAGGGGGCCAAGATGCAGGTGGGACTTCAAGTCCCCTGGTGTCAGGTGCAGCAGGAGCCTCACACTGGATCTCACCCACCAGCCAGGGGTGACGAGTCATCCTCTCGTTTCCTCCTCCGCTGGGACATTTCCCTGCAGGCACACAGGAGCTGCGGAACAAACTGTTGAGGGGGTCCCTGTGTGGACCCCTCTGCCCAGAAAGTGGGCAGGGTGGCTTCCTGTCTCTCTGGCTGGCTGAGAAGTCCCAAATGCCCTGCTTTGAAAAGTGAACATTAAAAAAATAAATTACAGAAGCCACCACTTGTGTTTCCCAGTGGCCCTCCTACCCGTGTGGGATGGCATCTCAGGTGGGTGGTTCAACCCCCATCAGCTCCCCAACCCTGGCCCAGACACCTCTCAAACCCTTGCAGCCAGTCATTCAAAGACAGCAAAGTTCTAACACTGACCAATTGCTGGAGAATGGAGGGTGGGTGGGAAGACGAATCATAATCGATGCCTGCAAGTGATACCTTACAACCCTCACATTAAAAAAGAGGAAATACTGACATTTTTTGAATTTTCAATAATTTAGTTTTGTTTTGTTTTTTGCTTTCTTTTTTAGTAGAGCTAGGAAAAGTTGTCAATACTACCTTATGTTGGTCCCCTGTTAGACAACATACATTTCTTTGAAATTTAAAATGTCAAATATATAATCACCCATCTTTGGAGGGGGGGAAAGGTCCTGACAACACCAACAACAAAATATCCCAAAATAAACCAGAGATTTCACACCATATAAACAAAGCCGGAGCAAATCTTGTGCCCAGGGCTGATGGCTCAAGTTCAAGTGGTGGTGATGTCGCAAGCTGGTGTGCTCTCCGGTGTCCTCTTGGTAAAAGGTGTCGTGCCCTGTCCCTCCGTCTTTCCTAGCAGAGACCCAGCTTCTCCAAGTCCACCGAGCAGGTTAGTACAGGGTTAGGGTGGATCTGGAAGGGGAGGAGGAGGAGACACGTGTGGTCGCCTGGAATGTGGACTTAGAAGGAAACCAGGGCTTTCAAAAGTGCAGGTTGAGCCACTGGAGGGAGTTGGGGCTGTGGGCTCCCAGCTGCTGCGGCGCCCCATGACTTTTCCCTGTGTCCTGGGGATGCAGAGGCCAGAGCCCAGGCCCTGGATGCACCCATAAGCTCTGAGGGTCCTCAGCACCCTTCAGGCTTCTGGCAGAAGTATGGAGAATGTGCTGGCCCAGGGCCAATCAGCCACTTTGCTGAAGAGTGGAGTAGAGGCTTGTCCTCGAGAGAGGTGGTAGAGGCCAGGCGGGTCCCAGGACAGGTGGGAGCAGAGGCCTCGGGCCATCTCTGAAGAAGGCTGGCTTGGCCCCACTGTGTCCTCCCAAATCCCAGCTCCAGAGGACGCGGCTGAGCGGGGGGCATCTTGGTGTTCAGAGGTCTCCATCCACTGGCGGCTGGCAGAGGCGGTAGAGGCTGGTGGATGGAGGCAGAGAGGATGAGGAGTGGCCTGGCGGGCCAGGGCCTAGCAGCAGCGTTACTTCCATTTCTATCTGAACACGTAATCCATGCCCAGAAAACAAACCTCAACAGGTATAAAAAGATGCAGAGTGAAATATTTAGGCTGCCCACGCCTTCCCCAGGCTGTCCAGTCCCATCCCCAGAGGCAGTCTCTGCCCCTCCAGAGACTGGGAAAGCGTTTACAAATAAAGCTGTGTCTGCATGTGCACGTGTGTGTATTTACAAAAGTAGGGTGCACTTTTCCCCACCAGTGGTGGCTAACTGGACACAGCCTCTGCCCCTTACATGTTTTCACTTAATAGACCTTGGGGACCTCTCCCTGCAGCACAGGGAGCGCTGCCCTGGTCTTCTCAGGGGCACTGGGAGGACACTGAGCTTTATCTTCAAGTAAGAAGGAGCCACTGCTGGGTTGCAAGCAGGAGAGGTGGTCAGATCAACCGCAGGGAGAGTGATGGCTTTGGAGGCAGGGAGACCAGGCAGGAGGCTGCTGTGGTGACAGGGGCAAGCAGAGCTGCAATGTGGCACAGTGGTTAGAACTGGGCCTCCAGGCCTGGACTGCCTGGGTTCAGAATCCCAGCTCTGCCATTTACTAGCTGTGTGACCTTGGACAAGATACTTAACCTCTCTGTACCTTGGTGTCCCCACATGACAAGTGGGGATATTAACAGGACCTTGCTCACAGAGTTGTCTGGATTGAGTTCATATAGAGGAAGAGATTGGAACAATGCCTGGAGCAGGGTAAATACTATACAGCACTAAGAAAAGATGAGGGCAGGGGCCGGCCCAGTGGTGCACTGGATAGTGCGCCGCTTGGGAAGCGCAGTGGCGCTCCCGCCCGAGGGTTCGGATCCCACATACGGACCGGTTCCCGCTCACTGGCTGAGCGAGGC